ATTCAATTTTGCCCCTTCTTATTTTTTTAGGCTCCACGAGGCCCCTCTTCTTATCCCTCTCACTCCTCTCGCAAATTTCACACACGCACCGCACCAAACAAAGCGCATTCTCTCTTTCTCTCTGCGTCTTCGTCTTATCTTCGAAAACCCTAGCCTTCCACAAAAGGTAAACTCGGTCCCCTTGCGGCACTGACTCGGTCCGAGTCGCTTCGTTTTTCATCGTTCCGGAACGATTCTCACCGAGTTTCAGCTTTTTCTCTGCAGGTTCGTTCGCCATGGGTAAAGCCAGAGCAGCTGCTCCCAAACGAACCGATACGAAGTGAGTTTCTGCTTATCTCGTTGTATATACGCTACGATTGTATCGGTTAGATCGGAGATCTGCGACTGTTTGGCTACTTTGATTTATGTTGTGCTTATGGATTTTGAAATTTTGCTTGTGATTGAAATTTTCAGGTTGAAGAGTAAGAGTGCTGGAGCAAGCAAGAAGCCAGCGAAGAAAGCTGGAAAGGATCCAAACAAGCCTAAGAGGCCTGCTAGTGCTTTCTTCGTTTTCATGTACGGTCAACTCTTTTTCTCTCTCTTGGCTTGAGTTTGAGATCTGACTTTTTCTTCGTTTTATTTGTTCCTAATCTTAATTTCCTGATTTTTTTTCACTTTTTTTTGTGTTATATATAGGGAGGACTTCAGAGAGAAGTACAAGAAAGAGCATCCAAACAACAAATCGGTTGCCGCTGTAAGTTCATCTCAACTTCTCAGATCTACTCATATACTTTTCGCTTCACCATGATTTTGTCTTAAATTGATAAGAATATAATTTTACATGAATTAATTTTGATTTTGTATTGTATTGAAATCAAACAGGTCGGTAAAGCTGGAGGTGATAAATGGAAGTCGTTGTCAGAAGCTGTGAGTATTTGGTTACAAGTTTATGGTCATTGATTTGTTAATTGCATAGTCTTTTGTTTATTCTGTTGAATTTTATTGATCGTTATGGTTTGTGTACAAATTGATTTTACAGGAAAAGGCTCCCTATGTAGCCAAGGCAGAGAAGAGGAAGGTTGAATACAACAAGAACATTCAGGCCTACAACAAGAGATTAGTGAGTGCTTGTTTTACAGTCCTTGTGGTTTCGATTCTATAGTTCAATTATGTTGAGGATTTTGTGAGAATAATTGTGGCTTAATTTGGGTGAAACAGGCTGAGGGCACAAATGGAGCTGATGAGGAAGAGTCTGACAAGTCCAAGTCTGAAGTGAATGATGATGATGAAGACGAGGACGAGAGCGGAGAGGTCAGTTGTGACTCTGCTAATTAAGTTAATTAAATATTCTTTGTTTCTTAATTGTGATTATGTGAGTTAATGACATGATTGTGTTGTGTTATAGGAGGAAGATGATGATGAGTAGATTGAAGGGGTAACAGGAAGTGTGGAGGAGAAGAAGCAATATTGTGTAGGATTGCTTAGAAGATGTTGATTGACCTACATTTCTGATTTTCGCTGCTCTTTGTCTCTCATGGATAAATAGCTCTCTACCTTGTTTTAGGATTTAGATTAGGAAAAACAAAAAGACCCTAAAAGGGATTAAGTTTCAGGGATTCTTCTACCTGACTGATTCCCATATCGTTCTGTACTTAATGATCCTTCTTATGTTCAATTATTTGCAGTTTGCTTTTTATCATATGGTGCCTTCCATTGAGTTTGCTTTCTGCATTTGAATGGTTCCCTTGGTTGGTTCAAATATTGCTTGGTCTTCTCTTACCCATGACTCATTGTTGCATCTTGTTTTATGTGATGTGGTCATAATAAAGGTTTGACTTTACAATGGGGCTAGTGTTTGACTTGCCTTGTGCATGTTGCAACAATTGGTTGATAGATTCTGTCAGTGTAGTTTTAGCATTTACCAGGATTGTCAACTCTTCATGGTTAGGGGGTTGTTCTGTGTCTTCGGTACTTGGGTATTTTTACTGCAATTAGGGGTTTGAAATTGCTGACATGTTTTGGATATAAACTGCTACAATGCGGCGGGGTTGAATCTGCAATTTGTGGTGCATTTCAGATGTTATGGCTTGCGATTTCTAGGAGAGACTTTGCAGTAGATTTCATTGAGGGTTTCTATCTTTTTAGCTGAATATAGCCTTCCTAATTGTATTTGAGCCGTAAATTTTGACTTATATTGAGGATCTCTACGTGATGTTCTGTGATTTCGTCCAATTTCAAAATGGTGAGCAAAATATAATGTAGTTTCCGAGTTGATACATGCTAGATATATTGCAAGTAAAAACATGAAGCTTTTGTTTAGCTAAATAGAAGACGACATGGGTTTTTCATCCATGTAGAGTGTAATACGGCAAATGGCTTCATTGCGTTTTGACTTTTATTTAAATCATAAAAAAAGACAGGGTAAAAATCACGATTCCATCCGTACCCGACATGAAAATATAATAATAATTAAGGCTTCAAGGATCAAGATGCTTTTGAAATACTGAAGAATTTAATTATTTATCCTGAAATAATCAACAGATCTTGTGCCTTTATATCAAATCAAAGCACTTAAAAATTGAATGTTTTAATCCGGATTTTTTTTCCAGTGTTATAATGTTATGTTTTCTTTTTCTTTAGTGCAAAGCAACTTTATTATTTACAATTTACAAATACTAGCCTCTTCACATGCCAGCATGCGAGAGACTTTTTTTTTAATATTTTTAATTTATTTTAGAATTAAAAAAGATAATGGGTAGTTGTGTTTTATAAAAATAGGATTTATTATCTGATTTTGTTTTTAATTTTAATTTTTTTAAATATGAAAAAGTTTATCATATTATCCTCATTTAATTAATAATTTCAATTCTTACTTTTTGTATTAACTAAAGGTATTTTCTGATATTTTGAATTTTTTATCATTTTCTGCCTTTTACTTTATATATATAGATATAGATAATAACGGGCAACCAAGTGACTTTCCAAATCTCCTACTTACCGAGCCCAAGCAGTGAAGAAATCAACCGCGCAGTCTATCTTTCATTACGACCTGTCGTTCTTATAATGAATTAGCTTAGCTCTGTATATTTTCGACTAGGTGTGTCGTTTACAGTTTGTCGTGTTGGGTAAAAGCGAGAGTGGTAGAGAGAGAGAGAGAGAGAGATGGCAGTTCCCGGAAAATGCTTGCTGGTGACGGGACCTCCCGTAAGTTTCGAATTCTATCTCTCTACATTTTCAATATTAATTTCCAGCCATTCTTCATTTCAGAATTCGTATTGCCTTTTGTTCAATTTTTTTCTCTCAATCTGCTTTCTTCTTTATGCTGATGCACAGGGTGTGGGAAAAAGCACTCTAATTATGAGAGTGTTTGAGACCCTAAAAGCCTCACATCCCAACTTAAAAATTCAGGGTTTCTACACAAGTAAGTTTTCAAATAAAATTTATTTGGTTGGGTTATGTTTTCTTATATAATAGATTGATGTAATTGTTTTCGAATTTGTACTTGTAAAATTTGTAGGTGAAGTTAGACAAGGAAGTGAGAGAGTTGGGTTCCAAGTGATCACATTAGATGGCCGCACAGCTCCTCTGGCCTCCACCATTTCCAGGTCTTGTTGCCTCCTTTTCCTCTTTTCATCCAATCTCAATGACTCTTCTGTTCTTTGTTGCATTGCTTAGGCAGTTTCTCAAACTCCATAATCACTTGCATCCTATTCCACCAGCTATATAACAAGTAAAGCCTAAAGTATGTGTTTTTTTCTATGTCAGCCCAGAGTCTTTCAGGTGGCCCAATGTGGGGAAGTACAAAGTAAATGTTGCTTCATTTGAGTCACTGGCACTGCCTGAACTACAGGTGGGGTGGTTTTTCCAATGCTTACTGTTCAACTCATACCAACCCTCTACACAATCTAATCTAATTTTTGGCCTTTTCGGTTGGGGATTTTGTTATATTCTTTCAGGTTTAGACTATGAGATTTGAGTCATTTGCATCCTTTTCCCAATTTCTTATCAGGTGAAAGAAGATACTGATCTATTCATCATTGATGAAGTTGGGAAGATGGAGTTGTACAGTTCATCTTTCTTCCCTGCTGTTTTGAAGGTTCTGGAATCCAATATCCCACTTTTGGCCTCAGTCCCAATTCCCAAATTTGGACGTGATATTCCAGGAGGTACATTTTCCTCATTCTTTCTCACTGTGATGTTTTTATTACTTGCTTTGTCAGCTGTCACACATTTTCTCTAAGTTTGATTTCTTTCTTCACAGATTTCTAATCACAATTCAAATATTTCTTAAAAGTAAATTTTGGGTAGAGTTTTTTGGTTGGTGTGTTTTTGTTATTTTTGCTTGTTCTATGGAGTTGGAGTTGTGACTGAATAAATGTGGAGTTGGTGTTGGCATTCTGCCATCCTGCTTTTTGAGCCGAATCTGTATATGACTAGGGTATCTGATCTTCTGCAGTTGCACGGTTAAAGAATCATCCGGGTGCAACGATTTTCACACTGAGCCCGAGTAACCGGGATGCTGTTAAAGAAGAGATATACTTCCAACTGGTAGACTCATTGAGTAAACAATAGATGTTGGACAATCAATGTGGTCCTTGTTGTGAACAATTTTTTAACAGCTGCTCCATTCTCAAAAGTTAGGACTTGAAGGAGCTTTGATGTACTCAATAGGCTTGGAATAGGCTTTAACAAAATATAAAAACAAAATAGTGTATTTCTTCTTTCTCAATTTCAGCATTATCTTATTTTAGTTTGCTTGTAACCTGGGGAGAGAGAGAGAGAGAGAGAGAGAGAGAGAGAGAGAGAGAGATGTTAGATTAATTCTCAAGAGACAAAGGAGAGGACAAACAATTCCAATCATGTATCTTCGCTTTCCTGATTATATATGCAAAAGTTTGTTCTTTTTATACATTCAATATATGCAAAAGAATTAAAGAAAACAGTGTCAAAAACAAACAAGATGGATGTTAAAGCCAAAAACAAATAAAATTAATACGAAGATATAATTTTAATTTGATTGCTGAAGACAATAAGCTCAATGGGGTCATGAGCCTCGCCTATCCTGTTCAGTTCGCAGCACTTCTTTTGCCAAGGATGAGAATGATTTAGCTGTGTCTTGCATCTCTGTAGTCCTCAGGTTGATTCCCTGCTCATTTCAACAAAAATATGGTTTGATTAATTTAACATAAAGCAATTTCATTCTGGCACTTGAAAAAAAATTATCTATGAACCCTAAACCCTTCATCACTGCTAAATTCCTACAACTTATTTATCTGGGATGCTAAAAAGGTATACCTGCAACTTTTTCGTGTTCTCCTGCAGCTTGCTTTCTGCCATTTTAGCAATATTTGCTTCCTGCAGCCAGAGGCTCATGAAATGATGTTGTTGACAGCATTTTAAAAAGGTTTAATATCTAAGTAAATAAGTTGTTCATCTTCTGAAAGTTAAAGAAGGATGTGTGCTTACACTTGACGAGAATCCATATCTCCTCTTAATTTGGTCAACTTGACCAACCTTCTCATCCTGTTGCTCTTCTTTGGTGGAGTTTTTCTCAGTCTTGGACTTCATTTGTTTCAGAACTTTACCTGTAGATTGGAAAGTTTTATCAGGTAAGACACTGCCATGGCAGACCTGATTGATAAATTCATGCCATGTAAGTGTTGTACGGACCTTTAAAGGCCATAAATTTGCTTGCCAATTTTTCCTTGTTAAGAGCTGCCAACATATTCTGCTCTTTTGGTTTTTCTCCAGGAATGTCCATGTCCATGTCGATGTCAATGTCATCTTTAAGCAAAAAAATTCATACAGAATGGCTCATCTCAAAACTCCATGCAGATTGAAATGATATATAAATAACTTTCTCGAAATGTTTAATGATCACTTAGGATGTTATATGATATCAGTCAATTTATATGCATACCTAGGTCTAGCTCATCTTCATCCCTGGCCTGCTCATCTGTATTCTCAGCATCTAATGTAAAGTTAGCAGTTGAAAAGATCGTCGAAAGTTCTTCGAAACTTTCTTTAGTATCTTCAGTTTCAATCTCAGGGACATTCTTCGCTTTGCTTCCCACAATATCTTTAATGACAGAGCTGAATATACCCTAGCAAAAAATAAACATTTTTGAAACCTTTCATTCCACAAGAAATAGGTTGTAGGCAGAGTTGGTAAAGTATCATTTCCCCATCTACCTTTTTCTTTTCCTTTGGTGTGGCGCGTCCAGGAATGAGATCTTCTTGTGGAACTATCAAATCTTTCTGGTAAGTCAAGTTGAAACTGTCTAAAAGCCTTGTATGAGGAAAGAAAAACACAAGATATTATGACCTAGAAGAATTTCCATTATAATAGAAATTATGAAAAAAATAAACATACAGAGAAACTTTCAAGGATATGTATACCTGAAGCTTTTCTTGTGGAGTGAAAGAGAGAAGAAAAATATTTCCTGATCACCATTCGCCTGTGCAAGGATGAAGTAGAGCAAATGATGAGGAGTTTCTCAAGATCATACCTTATGTGACTGATGTGAAAAGCTTGAATTACACTTACCATAACAAGTTCTCCTTCACACGAAGAGCATATTGAACTATCAGAAAATGAGTTTGGTTTTGGAGTGGAGTATGTGAAGCCCCTTATTGACGTCTCCTTTATTAAGGATAACTCAGGCAAGGACCTAGCATTACATAAACAGCTTTTTAGGCTTACATGCTGCATAATATCACTTAACACTCAGAAATTTAAATATGTGACACACACGACCACTTAGAACATCTGAAAATTCTGGTTTGAGATCACATTCAAGCATTCCTAATTTTTCCCGTTACCCCAAATGATGACAATTTGGAGCTACAAGATGATTGAAAAATAGACAATGAGAAGTCACTACCTTATCTCAACTTTTCCACTTGTGAAAAGGAGTATGAGGCCAACATCAGAGGAGGTGTAGAATGTCGAAGCCCAGCAACAAGATGCTTGGAATTTCTTCTTGTGGATTACCTTCTTAACTCCCTGAGATAAAAGAAAGAACAACAAAACTATAGAATCAGATAAAAAATCTTTTGAATTCATAGTTCGTACACAAGATGAAACACTATTTACCTGCATGACATGAGTGAAAGAATATACGTATGCAGCTTTTTCAGAACATAGCAGGAGTAAAGACTGCTTTGGCACGCCGTCCTCAACAGGGCTCCCTTTGCTCAAGTCAAGACCGTTTAATAAGTTTAATCTTTTAACATCCTGCCCATCTGTGTAACATTTTTAAAGAAAATGAACACACAAATCACATAATTTGATCCTTAAAATAGAGCAGTATATGGGAACATTTCAACCCAAAAAAAATGTGGGAACCTGAAGAGACCAGAACTTACCCAAGATCTGCATGAAAAGTGCTCGAGTGGGTTTTTTGGGATGAACCAAACTAGTACTCAATGTGTTTCCATTATCACTATCAAGAGCCAAAACAGATGAATCCTCTGTTGCAACTGCTAAGACATTCTTGTCAAAACCATGAAAACTGCAGGTTTGGAAATGCAGAGAGACGATGCCGGTGGAGATTTCACTTGCAATATGTTTTTGGTATAATACAGTTGGCCCTTCTATATCAAGAACTGAAACCTGTGAGGAAAACAAGCTCAAGTGTAAGAATAGAATGGAAAGAGGAGAAGAAATCGAGAATGAATAAGGGCAAAGAGAGAAGATCAAAAAGTAGTTATTAGATAGTAAGCTTACATATCCTTGACTAGACCCAACAGCAAGATGTCCTGTGCTGTGGTTCATGTTCACAGAAAGTACAGAACCATTAACCTTCAAGAGTTTAACACTTTGAATGATGTGATCGTTTCCTTTTTTCGTACTTCCTGCCATAAGTATGTGAAACTCATAAGGCCCTTCGTAATGTACTTCATTGTGGTAAAAACGTGAAGCATATTGCTAGTTATACGGCAATGGCCTGATAGTTGAATCATGTGCTTAATCATACCTTGAAGAGACAAGAAACTGCTCACATTGGCATATGGTTCAGGTTTCAATCTAAAGATTCGAACCTGTAAATCACATATATATATATATATATATATATATATATATATATTAAATACACCACATATTTTCCTGAAAGCAATTAAATTGATCATAATTCACCCAATTGAACTTACCATTCCACTCTGATCTCCAGAAACAATAAGCAGAGAGTTCGCATCGAAAAACAATGCTGTGACTGGTATACCACTTAAAGAAAGATCATCCTCACTCTGCATTTTGTTTGCGGGGGTGTGTGGAGGAGAGTAAATAAGCGCAAAAGTAAAGAATTATCTATTATTCTCCACTAATCTGCAAATAAGCTCAAAATGCTTTAATGATATCGTATGAAATGTTTACCTGTTGCTTTAATGATAGTATTGGTACTAAAAGTGGACATGACAAATCCCAAAAGTTCAGGGCTCCATCACTGTGTCCAGTTATGTACAAATTTTTAACTTTCGAAAATCCAGTAAAGCGGGCTGCATTTGACTGAGTTCCATCTTTTGGTTTTGTCTCAAAAGAAAAGAGAGATGGAATGCTTTTCGCCAGGAGAAGGTAGTCCTATGTAGTCAAGAGTACCACATCACTGACTGTAAAAACTAATAATAAAATCTTAAATGAAAAGATGTAGTTTTGGTATGTAATATTCAACAGTCATTACCTCATCAGCAAAACTTAACATTTGGGTATTATCTGTGATAAATTTTGCCACTGTAATGCTTGAATCAACAAACGGTATCTTCACCATGACCTCCTTTGGCAATGATGGTGAAGACTTCGATTGGCTTTGTAGAAGATACTTTTCGATCGAACAATCATCATAGGCATAAAGATTTCCTGAATTACCAAGCAAAAGAAAGCAATCTTGTTTATGTTTGCTTTGCTCACTAAAGCTTGAAACAATCTCCATGTCGATACAAGGCTCGGGCAACTGAAGCCCTAATTTAATAGTGCGACCTTCTGTATGTTCATTCAACAAGATTACCTGCCTCATCAAAACCAAATTTTCACAGTTGCACTCGGTTGGGATGTGATTAAGAACCAAAAAACAAAATGAGAAATGCTTCAATAGCACATGTTAATAATGATATGTACCTGTAACAAGTTTGAAGAGATGGTGTCAGACCCCCCCATAACATATAGTCTACTTGCCTTCCCATCTGCATAAGCCCATCTCAATGATGCTATAGGAATTTTGTCCAACTTATAACCAACATTCAGTTTAAAGATCGGAGTACTTTGTGTACTAGGCTCTGATGGTAATTCAGTTCTTGTTGGAACACTCCAGATGAAAATATCTCCATTGCTGTACCCAACAGCAACTTTACTCCCAAAGGGGCATGCCCAGCATGCAGAAGTCACTTTTTTCCCTTCATGATGAAATGATTGCAATGCATTTCCAGCTGCTGTGAATACGGTTTTGCTTTCTCGAATATCCCATAAGGATATGATACCATCTCTAAAAATTGTAAGAACTCTGCATTGAAACATATGACTTAAGAATTGGTAAACTGAGGTTGCATTGAGGAAGGCAGAGAGAGAGAGAGAGAGAGAGGCAGTAAATTTTGGTGAGACTACCTCTTACTTTCAGCTGTTGGTTGAGGCAGTACATGTACCACAGAAGTATCACCAGGTACTTCAGTTGGATTCCCTGATCAGATGATAAAATCAAGTTGGAAAGTAAAGAAAATGCTTATAAACCCCAAAAATTTCAAAGGAAATGGTGAGAGCATAATCTAGTATAAAAGGTGAAGAGGAATGCATCACCATGAGAAGCTGAATAAGGTATAGTGTACATCATTTGTACTATATGTTCTTGCTCAAGCTTCAAAACTCTAACATTACCAGCAGAATCTCCAACATACCTGCCATCATACGTTTGTCCAATATATAAACTTACTTGAAACAAACAAACCGCATTTCGATTCATCTACTTAATCCCCCAACAATGGAAGCTGAAACAAACTCACATGTAGAGACTATGTTGCATGACAGTGAAAGAAGTAATATCTTCTTCAAAAGCATGCACATCAGCCAACAGGTTCTTTTCTACATCCCAAATCTAAGGACAACAACATTCCTTTCGTTAAAAACTAAGCCATGCACCCATCAAACATTGGGAAAATCTCAGAGATTATAAGCATAGTGGATCAAACTTGCCTCAATATGGTTCTTGGAATTCACATTTACAAGTATGCCTTGGTTCTCCACAAACTGAACACAAAAATCACCAAATAATATTACATGAAAATTACCACACACAAAAAATACAGCTGGAAATTGAAGAAAGTATACATGATATTTTATACAGAACCTGTAAAAACTTGCTTGGTACTGCATTGACAGACTCAAGCAGAGCTTGAGTGTTATCTTTGCCAAATAATTTAATTCTGCCATCCCTGAGAGTGACAAAGATAAAAATAAACACTAAAAATTGGACATAACATGAAAACCAATGAGGCTATTTTGGTGCAAGAAATAAATTATGAGAACTCACTTGGACGAAACTGCAAGTATTTTTTGAATGGGATCATAAGCCAACATGTTACACCCTGATGGGATCCCATAATGAAATAATAGACGTGGGTCTATATCACTGCCTTTGAGACCATCAGAATTTCCACCAGGCTACAAATTAAATTGACAAAAATTATGTAAATTCTAAATTGCCTTTAAAAATTAAAACCCAATAATAATTATTTAAAAATAAATAATAAATAAAAAAGAGTTTACAACTACATTATGTGAGTAATAAAGTGAAGTTTGACCAGAGATTTAGGCCATTGACTTTAGCCCATTCTTTGACCATGGTGGGTTTGTAAGGGAGCCTATGACACGTACGAGCCCATCACATGACACGTAAGTTCATGTTGAGATTTTACAATGGGCCCACAAAATCTGATTGTAGATAAACAAACATTTGATCCACCGCCCATCACATGGATAGCTTTCACTCTTTATTGTCTTTACAAAATATTAACTTTTCTTTTGTTTGCCATGAGTTGACTATAAATACATTATATTTTTCCTTCATTCCTTTTTACGGAAAATGGATCCAATATAAGATCCAAATTATACAATAAGATTGATGCTTTTTTTTTTTTTGATGAGAAAAGGGGGTTAAAGAACCCCAAAGGAATAAGATTGATGCTTTTGGTTGCTCTAATAGTATTCATTCATGGAAGATGGGAGTGCGTAAGCGATCTTTCACATTTTTAATGGCATGCACCAAATACATTAGAACACAAATTTAGGGCATGTTTGGCATCGAATTAAAAACTCTGTTATGGAAAAGTTTTCTAGAAAAGCACCTAACATATGCTTTTTCGGAACTATTATTAAACAGATAATATGTTAACGGGTTTTTTAAGGTTAAGAAGGGTTTTCTTTCTTCGATGGTTATACGTGGCAGCTATTTATATGGAGGTGGGGGTGTTAATCCCTTTAATAAAGTTCAAAAGGAGGTCTAATAAAACTTGAGACATACATTTAGTTAAAACCAATTTAAAGCTAAGCTTTGTGAGGTCACATCCCCTTGCAAGATGGAGAATGAGTCAAAAGAAAGGAGGAATTATAGCAAGACAAGTAAACCCAATTAGATAAATTAATACCAAATTCGATGAGACAAGACAAGACCCAAGAGACGATACTAAAGTTCAAAGCTATAACACTAATCAAAATTTTCTTATAAATTCTTTTATGAAAACATTGGCTTTTTTCTTATCCAACCGGCCACCTCAAGGCCCCATCCATCCATTAAACGCGTTTCTTTCTTAATATTGACTCATGTTAAAGAAAAATATTGCTATATTTCGGTGTCATTGTCCCTTTCTTCTTTTTTTTCTTTTACGATAGTCTAAACTACGAGAGGAATGTGGTTTCTCACACACACATATTACTAAGGTGTTATGGGACTCGAATCTAATGCCTCTGATCTACAAATCAATGCATACCCTGTTGGCATTGTCCCTCTCTTCTTGCCTCTCTCGAAATAAAAAGAGTAACCCAATAACACCAAAATATGGAAGTTTTTCTCGTATTAAATGAATGAAGTAACGCATCACTATACTAAACAAATACAACTTAAAATTTAGTATCATTCTCATCTACCAAACAGACACCTATACCATCATGTCACATTCCTTATGTGATTAAGCATTGTCCATATCAAGCAAATGCAAACAAAAACCCAATCCCCTAATTTCATGTTCGTAACGCAACCAAATCATATTTTATTTATTTTTCATCCCATTTTTAATACTGTTGTCATCAAAATAATCAACAAAATATGTATATGGCAGTTATTTATTTGTTCATAATTATTAACCTGACATACATAATAATATATATATCTTTAGTACTAAAATGATTAAAAAATTTGGAAGTAACGTGCATCAAACGGCTAAAGGATACAACATATATGATAGCAAACAACTTTATTTGCAGATCCCTTAACAATTATTATCTTAATGACAGATTTAATGACAGTTATTAATTCTAGCTTTTGACAGTTATTAATTCTAGCTTTTGAGTACCCCTTCTCTGTTTTTTTCACAAGAACAAGAAGAACAAGAAGAACAAGAGGGAGGAGGAGGAGGAGGAGAAGAACAGTGGATCAAATTCAAAAGTATGGACTGATGTCATTGAATTGATATATATTGAACCATGTTCTTAAAGAAACAGAGAGATTGATTGCTGGGTTGAAAATTCATTGAAAGTTAAAGAGGAAAAGAACATCACTTGCCTTTTTGGAAGCCTTCTCCACAAGCTTTCTGACAAACATGGATGATGGTGATGAAGAAGAAGATCTGGTCTATGCTCTGCTGTTTTCAGAATCCGAGAGACCACCAAAAAAACTCAACTCCTGAGATGGAGACAAAGATGACCTGAGAAAGCCAAAGTTCTCTGCTTTGAAATAACCGACGACAGAGACCAGAGAGAGAAGAAGAGAAGAGAGTGAAGTGAAAACTTTGAAATGAGCCGTTGATCGCAGTTTTTCAATTTTTATGTTGGAAGAGGAATGGGACAAGATTTGCGGTTTCTAAAGGACAAAATAAAATGTTGGTTCGGATCAAAGGACGGTGACACGTGGAGGCCGATTAGGTAACCATTAATTGCTAATTTCCTAAGAAGGAAAATATGTTTGACGCCCTTGACCCTTGACTTAGCTTTCACTTACTCACTCACCCACTCTCTTTGCAAGGGCAAAGGCCAAAACTACAGATTGTTTCGCAAAATGACATAATTGACCTTCCTCCTGGGACAGAGCTTAATCAGAGAGCACACGTGGACATGTGGCTGGATATGATGTCAAACTGGGACCCACATACCTGGTCTGCCAATCGATGTTACTTAGCTACGTGGCCAAATCAAAAGAAGCTTACTAAAAAAAATAAAATAATTTCAAATATATATAAATATGAATCAAACTCTTGTGACACTTGTCTCCTGAAGAAAAATGCTTGTGTGTATTGAATTGAAGTTCCTCAATCAAGACAAGTTTACAATCATAATACATGAAGAAAATCAAAGACAACAAACTGAGCCGTGTTTTTGCCTTCGAAGGCAACCAAATGGAACTATCAGTATTACATAGAACCAAACAACAACTACTCTTACTCTTGTGAAGACAACCTCTTGCTGTCAATTGCTTCCTTGAGTTTAGTCCCCAATGCATAGGCCAAAGTAGGAGGAACAGCATTTCCAATCTGCCTATGCTTGTGAAGAATTGTGCCCGAAAACTGGTAGCTATCCGCAAAACCTTGCGACCGGGCGCATTCCCGAACAGTTAGAATCCTATCCTGGTCAGGGTGAAAGCACATTCCCACCTTCCCCATTGGCTGAGGATCTGTAATGGAAGTTGGGAAGTTACCTTCCCAATCCAACCTTCCAAACAGGCCCTTCCACTGATTGTGGCGCTTGGCTGTGTTGGGCAGGCACCATGGTATCAAGTCAACTATCTGTCCAGTAGAGAGCTTCACCTTTTCATCTGGAAGGCATTGCCAATCAGCACCTGGCCGCTTTGGAATTCTCTGGCATCGAATCAGATTCAGCTCATTCATTTCTTTCGAAATGTGATCAGTCAAAACAGCCATCTCCCCTCGGATTTTCTTCTGGAACCATGAGACGGGATCGCTTTCGTACTCTAAGTTCACCTTGGATGCTCCATTCCCTACGGCCGGGAGATCACCGATTGTGTCTCTTACAGTTATTGCACGGAATGGAGCTCCACTTGCAGTACTACGAACAGCAGCATATTGTGAATTGCCTGATAATGTGATCTTCAACTCTGGTACGCCAAAGACATGCATTGGCTCTGGCCATTCAGGGAGAATCTCTCCTGGGGCAGCTGCCCATATAAATGCTCGCTTTCGTGACTGGGAAACTCCATAAGCTCCAGCTTCCAGAATACCAAACCTCACCTGATAACCCATCTCAAGAAGTGAAGCCAGAGTCAGACGGAATGTCTGTCCTTTATTGAAAGACACTAAGTTCCTCACATTCTCTAAGAGGAAATATTTTGGCCGGAAGTAGTCGGCAAAGGATAAGAATGCCAAAATCATTTCACACTGAACTTTACTCCAAGTGCTTTGGTTGAACCTATTCATTCCAGAGAAACCCTGGCATGGAGGTCCTCCATTGATGAAATCTACCTTCCCCGGCAACGGCAAATCATTCTTAACCTTCTCATCAAGTGATGCAGCCAATTCAGCAGCTTCGGAAGTTGCAATACAATCATCTGTGTCCCCGCATTTTTCCATTATGGCCCTTAAGATAACATTGCAGTTATTGATAAAAACCAACGACTCAGGATGGTTGAGTTTGAAAGCATCCCCAGCAGGCTCTTCATACTCAATTGCCCACTTGGTTATTGAAGCACCAGACTGATGCAACCCATCAGACAAGCCACCGCAACCAGCAAATATATCCAATGTGGCTAGGCGTTTCTGCTCAGAATCAGCTCTCTGGTTCTCAACTTCTGAAACATTTTCTCCTTCTTTGCACTTGCCCTTTCTCTTTCTAGAATCAGCATCACCACCTCCTGTTGAGTACCTCAGTTTGATGTGAGCTGGCAACTGCTTAATAGACCCTTTAGAAGGATCATACAGATGTTCACAGAAGAAAATATGCTGGAAAGTGACAGGAGCATTACATACTGGAAGATCACTCTTCTTTCTGACTTCACATTTTCTTTCTATATTATCAACAGGCATGATGTGTGTTTCCTCACTGTAGTAGACCTCTCTAATATCCGAACTGTATGCCTTCTCAACAGATATGTCCTCTGGTCTGAAAAATCTTCTTACTTTAACCTGGGTAGATTCTATTTCAATTCGTTTAGATTCCTTCATAACAACTATCTCCAGCACTTGGCACACGACATAAGCTTTCAGCCCCAAATTCCTTCCAGCTTTGAAAATTTCAGTTTCCATCCTTTCCACGCCAAAATAATGGGGACTTACATAGACATAATCGTGAACTGAGTACTCAACTCCCCTGTATACAAAACCAGTTTTTGAGGAATTTACTTTAAAGACTTCCTTGGCCTCCTCGGCTTCGTTCATTTTGCAAGAGTGGCAGGCACCAGAACCCAGACCCATAGTATCACGTGAAAGACTAAAGAAAGCACCTCTCTCTGGGCAATACAAGCTTTTACAGTAATATTCAGTCGGCAAACCCTTCCTCTTCCTCTCTTCTGCCCTTGCTCTATCAGTTCTGTTAGCATCAGCATTATCCTTCCTATACTGATGCCCCCACGGCATTAGTTTAATGTCCACAAGAGCTGCCTGTTTAACTTCCTTTAATGCCAAATTTGTGCACTCATTTGTCAAAAATACCTCCCTCTCATTGGCAGTGTTGCCAAGAACAGTCTCAGATCCTCGCTGCATCACTCTTCCATGAAACATTTTGCTTCCATTCAATGTTTCATACATGTACTCCACAAAATAAATGGCAGGAAGTTCATTGGATTCATCAAGTTCCACCAAAACAGCACCGCCAACAGAAATTTCTTCTCCCCAAAGAATGGCACGCTTATAAAGAGCTTCACCAGAATATGTTTGGCCCACTGGCTCCCCATCCCACAAAATCTCCCTGTTGTTGAGGCATGATTTGGTTTGTCTTGAAATTGAAGAAGGCTTCTGGGCTTGTTCCATTACAGTTGGATTCTCTTCTACATCATCCTCTTCTACATCCTCTTCTTCAACTTCCTCCTCCTCTTTCTTTTCGCCAATATCTCCCTCCTTTGAATCTTCTGGAGAGTAGTTTGAATAGTACTCCCCCCAGATTCTGTTGATCAGCCTTGTTGTTGTAGCCTGCATTGTCTTCCTCTTGGAAACCACAGGTGCCATTGATGCCCTTGGGTTCAAATTTGATTCACTCTTTTCCACAACCTTCTTCTTTACTAACCATTTAGTATGGTGCCTCTCCTCCATTTTCTTTGTAAGACCAATCACAAATGGACATTTTTTAATCTGCGCATCAGGAAATTCTGAAAACAGTTGCAGTATTATCTGTCCATGGACAACCACATACCTCTCAACAAATGCTGGATCAGAAGAAATGTAAGCACAATGGTCCTTTTGGAACCCTGACAATCTCTTAATGACATCTGCAAAAGAAAGCCGTGCTACTCGACTTTGATCTTTCAGCATAGTGATTATACTTCTCCCAATCTTTGCTGTTCTCAGAATTGGTTCATACCACAGAGCATACTGCTTAGATGGCTTGCCAAGTCTGTACCAGGCCATATCTGTTCGGATTGATATTGAAACCATTGATGCTCCCAATTCAATCATCCATTCCTTTATCGCACTCAAGTAAATTGGCATTCCATCAGCATCCTGGGCTCCTGGACCACTTGAAGTACCATCAGAATCAAGACAAAAGCCACTTCCATCATCTTCACTCATAACCCCTGACCCGAAAATGGTAACATCAATGTCTGCACAGGGTTTCATTGGAAGAAGCTCGAGTGAAATCAATCTTGAGTCTGAGTTGTATAGACACCAATTATGAAGCATGCTTCGAGGAAGGTCATCAGCATTACAGATATCAAACTCATTGTCAAAAACTATGAACTCATCAGTTTCTTCAATGGAATTCTTGTAATAAGCGGGTAGAGGATAATCATTGGCAATTTCATCTTCATTAATTTTGATGTAGTATTTGCTTGACACAGAGGCAGGACCCTGGCGCTTTCTTTGTTTCATTGACTTCCAGTATTCTTCCTCTTGCAAGAGTTTTGCCAACTTTGCATCCTCATTTTCCTCAGCTTCAACTACGGATGAACCAGCTGAATCCACTCCATTCTCTCCACCAATCTTTAAAGTACCACTTGAAATTCCTGGTTTTGATTGGACAAAATTTCCACGCTTTATACTCTCATCTCGGAGGGCAGCAAGGGCAGGCAACTCTGCAAATGGCCGATCGTTCTTCTTTGATGTTTCCTCCAGACCTATCAGTTGAGCATAAATAAACTCACCGTGAGATAGGACAAAGTCTTTGACAGATGCACTCCCAGAAAAGAATTTGCTTCCACTCATTGATCGAGCAATACCAGCAAGTAATTCATCAAGAGTGGGGTCGGAGTTGGATTTAGACAGCTTCCTGTAAACCTCTATGCAAGCACGCGCTTTCTCAAAGAATTGATCAAAGTATTTCTTGTAGCTACTGGCCGGTTTACGGCAATCATAATCAGCAACTTCAGTTGAAAGCCAAATTACAGGGGAGCCATCTTCATAACCAGAGATGTCCCAAGATTCTATTCGCCCGAAACCTTCACATCTAACACCTCTTTCCTTGTCCTTGTCAGAACTTCCATTGAGAGGCAATATAGCACCAGATATAAACAAGTCAGAAACTTCCAACATCTCAAGGGGTTGTGCGGAACCAGTTGCATCATGCAAAACAAAATCAGTCAGTCTTCTGTTTGGGCGCTCAGCATCTTGGTCCTGGCCACAAGTCAGGCGTACGGCAAGAATTTCTTCCTCCACTATCTGGTCCTCCTTGCTTTCAATAAGGCTAGACTTCTCAGAAATAT